GTGATGTATTTCCCACTGTTACAACTATTTTACACCTTTTCTCTTAGTTCTGAGGAAGAACAAAGTGAAATAGTATGAGTTATTTGAGCACTGAAGCAGTATCTTTTTTATTGAAAAGAAATGCTGGTAGAGTATAGAAGCCCTTTAAAGAGTGCTATCTTTGGGCTTGAAATTGCAGCTAAGCAGCATCTTTAGATGCTTCAGGATACATTAGATAGAGAATGAACCATGACATGAATTGGATATTTCAAACTAGGCAAGGCAAAACTGTCCTGTATAAAGGTGCTCGATCTGCCTGGTTACTACATTGGCACTGCAGCCTATTTCTACAAGTACCAATAGTGTAATTTAATAGAAATTGCTAGTCTTTTTAAAAAATGGGCTAATCAGATGAAGAAAGTTATTTCTCATTGTTACCATATGCTCCATAGAACTACCTGTAGGGTAGAGAAATAATGGAAAACTGACCTGCCACTCCAGCCTAGATAGAAGAATGCTGCATAGGAGATACCTGCTGTATTTATTTTCTTCTTCCCCATGTCAGCTCTTCATTGACCCTTCCGCTCTATAGCTAGCTTGCCCATTCTTATTCTCATCCTGCCACCTGCAGCATTTACTAATTCTTTTTTTCATATTACAGAACTCTTTGAATGTGTTCAGGAATTATTGAGGAAAAAAAGAACACTCCTAGGGACAGGGACTATTAAGCCTGCAGATGTGGCAGGAAGCAGGACATTCAGTGAAATATGATCTTACACTCAAAATGCTCTGTGGAAACAAGATTAAGGCCAATGGCAGAGGCCAGCCCAGTGTGCATAGCCCTTGTTCTGAGAGGCTGTGACACAGTGACAGCTGCTCTCTGTCGCTTAGTGTGGAGCAGGGATTCACAACCAGAACAGTGGAGGGGGTAATTTCATGTCTTGCCTACTTGAGTTGTCAATGGAAGTCAGTAAGCCAAAATTTGCAACACCAGTTGTTCCACTGATTTCACCAGAACACCTCCAGTGGTGGATTTGATTGAATTAGACCACTTAAGAGGCTCAGAAGAGCAAGATTTGAGCCTACAGGCTTCAATGTGTGAAAACAGTCTCAGGCTGTTTTGATGATCAGTAGGGCTAGAGTAAGGAGTATATTCCCAGTATCATTGGTCAACAACACAGAATCTTGTTTTAACTCAGTGAAGGGAACGTTCTTTGGTCTTTTTCTCTTTTGCCGGGTATTACTGAAAAGAGCAATGCACACATTTACACATGGCAGGAGAGCAGAGCAATAAACAGGGTAATTCCTCACATCTCCATTCTGGGGCATGGCAGAGTTTAATTTCATTCCATTCACAATTTCGTCAAAATCTGCTGCAGCCGACTTGATGCAAGCACATAAACACTTCCCTGCTGAAAGTCACCTGTACTAAATTAATTCTGTTACATAGGTTTTAGTTTTATACAGAACCCAAGGGCAGATTTTTAGTGTTTCAGGGTGGATAAAGGGAGATATGGTATGTTATTAATGTTTGCATTTTCTGACTTTTGCAAATTTGCTCAAACTATAATGTTTTCAGTCTCCAGATCTGCTTAATGGCACACTTAATGGCTGTGCAGTATCCCAGTGGGAAGTCATAAATATCTTCTTCCTGTCTGGAATTGTGCAGGTGATTGTTATCAATGCCTGTATAGGTTAGCGTGGATGTTTTTCTAACCTATTTTGAAATCACATGACATTGTTTTAAGGATATATTTACAATATGGTCATTTGTCTTCCCGAAAAATGAGAGCAGCTGAGCTGGAAACACAATGTTTAATTTATGTCAAACCATTGCTAATCACGACTGTTACTGGAATGTACTCTATATCAACAATATTCAGTGTACTCTAGATAAGTTGGGAAATCTGCTCCAGTCATCCTTGGCAGAAATGTGGTAGCCACATCTATATCAGATACATTTTTCATATAGTGCTATGAAAGTCAAAGTTAATATTTCCCTTGCTACTATGCTTTTATTCTCTTCTGTATCTTTGCTTCTCCCAGGTATTAAGACTTTTATTCTCCTCTTACGTTGTGTAGTCCTGAAGAACATTAAATATTAGTCTTTGGACTTTTCATATAACTTACCCAATTTTCTGTTAGTTCCTGTCCTGTTTTCCGTTACCCAAAAGACAAAGTAATTTGAATAGACTGCAACAAAACCCCTACAAAATTAGCCTACAGAAGAGATGACTCAGGGGAGATCTTATCAGTGTGTGTAAATATCAGAAGGGAGGGTGTAAAGAAGATGGTGCCAGATTCTTTTCAGTGGTGCACAGTGACAGGACCAGGGGCGATGAAAACTGAAACACAGGAGGTTCTGTCTGAACATCAGGAAACACTTCTTTTACTGTGAGGCAGACTGAGCACTGGCACAAGTTGCCCAGAGAGGCTGAGGAGCCTCCATCCTTGGAGGTATTCCATATCAATTCAGATATAGTCTAGGGCAACCTTGTGTAGGTGGCCCCACTTGAACAGTGGGGTTAGGTAAGATGAACTCCAGAGGTCCATTCCAACCTCAACTGTGATCCTGTGGAAAAAGTACAAGGGATTAGAACTAATCTTAAATGTACTTTTTTTGGCTCATGTCTACGTTTTTCTTCTCAAGTCCTTAGACTTGCATGGTGTGTGATATATATACATGCTTACAAGCAGCATGCAACTGGACTGTTTGAGGACAATATTTGTCCTAGCTATGGTTGTATCTTTGCAAAGAAAAAAATTTTCACATTCATTGAAAAAGCACAAATTTCCTTCATTAATGGATTATCCTCATGTATTCTCATATATTCTGAAATGTATTGTTCATTCACATATTCTGAAATGATCCACTGCATGTTATGTTTCTGGGCAAGGACTTGATAGTTAAAGTATTAAACGTGTATTTGCCACAGATGTAAACAGAGCAAGGCTTATATTCAGCCTGTGATGATTTTTATAGTTCTACCAGAAAACTGAGATCTAGGGTGTTCATGGGCAGTCACTTCTGTTCCATACCTCGTGCTTCCTGTTTCTGACCCACACACCATCTAAATGTCCTCTGAAACTGTGCTCCAGAAGTGTGATCTTTGCATTATGGGTCAGGTGGGTCTATTGTCAGCACAGCCAGCATGCAGTACAGAGACAGACGTACAGAGCCTTTCCACACTCACCATCATTGCATAACACCCTGTAAATATCCTGCAGGCTCATTAATATACAATTAGATTCACTATGGCATAAAACTCAGTTTGATTTCTTTCCATCATCCCTCCGTGTTTGTGAAAAGGAAAGTAACTTTATATGTTACCAGCTTAATGGTACTGAGGAAATGACTTGGAAGTTTCATCATTCTGAACTTTGCCAAATTACTGTCTCAGTAAGGCACTGGTTATATTACCATCTGCAACACCCCATTGCATTAATATGCATAAATCCTCCTTGCCTTAGCCTTGTGAGTAATCCCATTGACATCAATTTGTTCCTAAATCTTTTAATAACTACAGAGTTGTAGCATTTTGCAGGATCACCTTCAGGGTTCACAAGACAGACAACGGCACTGTCTGCAGATAACTTCATTGAATAACACGGCAAGCAGAACTGCAGTTTGACCTCTGCTTCATGCCTGGTGATTTTCATCCTTAAGGGCTCAGACGTTCCCTATGAATTTGTAAATTTTTTCACTTGGATCATGGGACCTCCAATGACCCCCTGAAACAGTTGAACAGTGTAGCAAATGGGCACAGATAATTCAACAGAACATCAGCTTTAATCGTTCTTTACTCTTCCTGTTTATGCCTACAGTGAAAGCTGAGGCTAGTGCAAGTTCTTTCTGCCTCAAGAGTGGGTGGATTTTCAGGCAGAAGTGTTTCTTTCATAAATAGTTTTAAAGACATGCAGCATCACTGTCCTGTTAAACTAAGGAGACTTGCCAGTCTTTTTTTTAAAAAAAAAAATTTCTTAATTTACAAAAAGTAATTAGCAGTATGTGAGAATTTGGAAGCAATAAATGAAAGTTACTGTGCCCTCTTAGGAGTTGTTGAGATATTTTCTTTAGAGCAGTGATTTAAGGTTACTTTCTTAGCTAGCAGTAATTTGAAGGGATTATCTTTTAGGGGGAGAGTGTCAGCAAATCCTAGAATACTTTAGTCCTTTTCTATCTCAATTAATTAGACAGAAAGGTGCAGAAGATTAATTTCTTCCAATGTCAAATCGTGTTTCCACAGTGGTCTCCTCATAACCCAACAGGAGATAAGAGTTCCTGAGCCTCAACTTTATTGTACTGAGAGCATGTAAAATATTTACCAGTTTTGTCCTGCCCTATTTCCTGTCTCTGTTCATCTTCCTTTGCTGTTCCCATTTTAGTTGGTAAGACAAATCTTTTTGTCAGCCTCTGTATGTATTAAGAAAAACAGAAGAGAGAGGTATTGCTGTTTTTACATGCTCATAAAACATAGGCTTTAGACAAGATGGAAAAGATAATTCAGGAATTTTCCTATGTTCTGAAGTTTAGAACATGAAGGGAGGTGGTGCTTGAGACCCCATGTTCAACCTGGGTCCTTCCATGTACCATGGCATGGTTCTGGAGTCAGTTTGTTCCCTTCTGCACACCCTATGCTGTGAGGGAATATACTGAGTTATTCCTCCCTCCAGTGGTCCAGCACATTGGATTGTTGGTGTATGATGTAAGAGCAGGAGGAGGATTTTGGCTGTTGGTTTGCCTGCAGATAATAATATCCTTCTTAGTGGGCACGTGGTCAGCAGAAGAGCTGTGGACTTGTCAGGCCAAGATTACAAAACTCAGCCTTTCTGTGCCTTTTACCCTTAGTAAAATGGGGATGAACCTACCTTTGATATTTGTCTTGCTTATTTTGGGATGTACCCTGCTTAATAACATTATTTTTATTGGAGGCTATAATGCTGCTGTCATAGAAACAAAAAGTAGTTGAAAATCTAATCATGACACAATACCAGATTTTCTCCCTTTTCTCTCTCTCTAGATTTATAGAGTGTGGGATATACAGACACTTTCACTGCTGCAAGTCTTTCATGACAGTCAAGGGAGACCTGGAGAGATGGGAACCTTCTCCATGGTATTTGACAACGACTGTGGTGTGCTTATTACTGGTACGTTACTGCAGCTGATGACCCTTCTCCTGGAGTGTAGTGTCCTTCATGGTTACGTACAACTCCAGCTGAGTACAGGAATAAAGTGTAGGAGATGTATAGTATACTGGGAGGTAATGGTATTTGCACATTAAGACCATTTTAAAGGGGATCTTGTTTTATATGGTGCTAATTCCAATACGAAAATATATATATGAGAATATGCAGCATGGAAATTAACAGCAGGAACCAGAGGAAATGAGAAAGCCTTCTCTGAGGGCAAGGTGAGCCTTCTTTAAAAAACTAAATTACAGATACTGTTCTATAGTCTTGTCATTTCTTGAAAGCTACTAAGCTGCTGATATTCCCCTAAAACTATTCCTCTAATACTCTCCCCCCATTTGGAGATCAAAGAAGTAAAGTATAGTGTCTGTGGAGCACTCATAACTGTATTCAAACTTGTTATTTAACTCAGTAGCTACAGAGAGCCCACAGTCTGTGGTGTCAACAGATGCACTGTCCAATTGATCAGGAATAAAATATTCTAGGAACTCATCCCAAGGTTTTGGGGCTCCATCTCCTGACTCTGTAGCAAGGAGCCTGGAACCTCCAAGGGACCAGAGTTCCATGAGGTCCTTCGCTAAGGATATTGGCCTTCTGTAACTAAGGCAGAGACTCAGGAAACTGGCAGTTTCTCTGTCCCAGAGATGTAGCCACTGAAAAAACACAGCTTTGAGCCTGTTTGGGGGCAATAGAAGCCTGAGATATACCAGGCAAATGAACTCATTGCCTTTGGAGACACCTTTTTCTATCCTAGGGACAAGGCATAAAGCTTTTAAATCTTGTCAGATCTGAGAATATGAATGTGAAACATTTTGTTTTCTGTGATCTGGTAGCTTCCATTGAATCTTTGTGCCAATTGTTTTAGAAGCCTAAATATATAACAATATATTGTTATATATATATTGTGGCCTCTAGTTCACTGTATATGTATTTAGACATTTGATCAGCACTTCAAAGCTTAAGAAGCTTCTGTTTCTAGGTCTTATTTTAAAAATGTCCTTAATATTAATCAGTCTAGTTCTTAAAGAGTTTTAATCACTAAAGGATACAGATATGATCTTCAGTTCAAATTTGTTAGTGAGATTTTCAAGGCTTAGTAATGTAGGGATTTTACATGGATAAATCCTTGACAAAATGAGGTAACTCTGCCCTTATAAACAATGATTGGAGCAGTGCCTAAATAACCGAGTCCAGGGCCAGACTTTTACAGATAATAACTGATTCCATTGAAGGGCTAAGTGAGTGTCTCCTTGCCCCTCAAGAAGACAAGAAACTGAGGCTATGTATGGGCAAGTTAATTCTCATTGCTACGTACCTGAATTTTCTGCTATTAGTTCACTAAAATCCATAAATCACGGCTCACCTTCATCCTTCATTTGAATGTTGCCATTGCTTTCCTGCTGTGCCTTTCCCAAGCTGCTGGCCCCTGTGCCTGGACTTAGGCCAAGCGCTGGGCAATTTCACCCTGTGCTGCATCCTCACTGCTGACTGCTGCTCCTCTGCTGGTAGAACCCCAGTCATACTGGAACTGCAATAGGAGGCTGCATGTGTAGTTTGGCTTGTGAGCCTGCATTGTAAATTTTGTCCTTTCTTTTGTCTTCTTGTCCCCATCTGCCTCTCTGTCTTTGCAACCCTTCTGATTCGAGAGCACTGGAAGGTGTCTGGAAAACACCATTCAGCAGTGCGGTGTAAGGGGAGGTACTGGAAAGGCATCATCATTCCCTGCAGACAGAGCTGCTTTATCCCTAAGAAAGTGGATACCAGAATTTGTTTTAGGGATATATCTGCCAATTTGTTTTATTTATTTAGGTTCATTCCACTTCATGACTGGAGGACTTAGGGCTTCTAATGATTTGGAGTCAGGGTATCAATCCCATCACAGGTGGGCAGATGGTTGTTTAAGGCAGGTAAATACTTGGCCATTGTTTAACGTGCTCCCACTAAAGCAGCAGTTAATGTTTTCAGGTTTAGAGAACAGATATTCTCAAGAAACAGACAATATTCCTTATCCTTTTCAGAAAAACTCAGAGGAACTCTACAGTTCACAAAAATTCTTTTTATATCCAGGGAAAGTAATCGGTTCTATAAACAAAATGTATATATTCTCACTTCTCTCACCCTGTGCAGGTTCAACTGTCATTGATATTTATCCCCTAGCTTATATGGTACAAGACGCGAGACAGGTGCCACAGACACATGAGAAAAGCATCAATGTTCTGGTTTACAACAGGGCTTTTCACCAGATTCTCACTATCTGCTCTGAGTCAATACTGAAGGTAAGTATAAGCTGACACCATTTAAACTGAAAAAGAAAAGTGCTAGCCTTTTTTATTGCAAATAAGTTACTGGGAAATTAGATAAATGATTAGTATTTATTATTTGTTATTCGAAGTGTTGGTTTGTTGGCTGGTTTTGTGCACAAATTCCCCAGGGGAGTGGTGGCCATGATAAAGAAACTTATTTGGATTCAGCAGCATTACTTTTATCAGATAACTGCTTCCCTGACCTGCACAGACTTAGCGGCACTTCAAGCACCAGGTAGATTGAGCTTTGGAGGTTCTGGATTTAGTATCATTTTATTTCCTTTGGCTGAACAGGTACACTTCACCTGTTCCAGCAATGTGTCCTTGCAAGTATATCAATGAAAGTCCATTGGCTATTTAGTAGGCTAAAAGGAAAATTTTTAACTTCCATAATGTCAAACTGTGCATTCAATGGACAATTCATGGAAGCACAATTACACATTATTTTTCAGTTTAGAAGGCATATCTGATGAGCTTCTCTTTATCATTTAAGAAGCATTTGAGTCCCAGACAGCTTAGTAGAGTATAAATGTGTATTTTACACGTTTTATGGATTGGCATAAAATGTGAAAAAAAGTCACTTTGTAAAAACAGGACTCTGTAAAAGATGCTGCTCTCAGATAAAAAGATTCCTTCCCTAAAACTGAAAGCTTCATTGAGGCACACAGTGTGCCTAAACTATAAAACCTGACTTTTTGTCCTCCTGTTTTGCTGCTTGTTCATCTGGTCCGCTTCTAATTGCCTTGCAGTTCTGGAGCCAATTTGCTGACCTTCTCTAGATCCTTTTCTCATTAAATAATTTCCCAGAACGTGCTGTTCTGAGCCTTTAGGTTTTCAAGTCATACAGTGAGAGAGAAGTCTTGAATATAATAGCCAATTAACAAGAAAACTAACAAGATGGAGATTGTTTTATCACTTTTTAATCATAGCTCTGTTTGTGTTGAAACATTATTGAAAAGTTTAAACTCATCTGTTAGCTTTACTGTTTGCATTTGAATCACTAGAGCATAGTTGCCATGCAAGTGTCAGCAAACCCTCAGATAATACAATGAATCATTACTGGTGTCATTACCAGGGTGACAATGACCAGCAGAGGTACCGAGGACCTGCAGTTTTCACCTGCTGGGGTCAGTGGGGTTGGATTTGTAGGGACAGGCAGCATCTGTTATTGGGCCAGCTGGTGATGCATGCCATTCCTGTGGAGAAAGGCTTGTTTTTGTACAGGTCTGTTCATTCTATACACCTGGTAAAGATGTTATTTCTCACTGTGAACCCTGCCTTCCTTAGACTGTGATGGCTACACCACCTTTACAATTACAAGATAGTTTTGGGCACCTGGTGCTGCAGAAAATTGAATCCAGACAGTGCGTATGACATGAGTGGCTACTTCATAAATACTTGAATCTGAGCTACCCCATTACAGCAACCAAACTTTGTACTTGTACTTCATTATAAGGCATTGCTTGAAATCCCCAAAGGATTAGACAATGATCAGATATAGTTGTTCCTACATTTTTGGACCAAATGTTTAGCAGAAGTCTCCTCATTTTGATATTTAGCAGAGGAATTACAGTTTAAGCTGTTCTTTTTAATTATTTTTTTATAACTTTTGCACTGTAAAAACTTATTATGCTTAACAACATTCTCTCTGACCTAACAAAGGTCTTTCTCATAGCATACTAAATAGAATGGCTTCTCTGTCGAGAGGAACATTTTCAGGGAAATTACAATAGTATTTCAGTAAAAGAACAGGGTAGTGCACTACTGTAACAGAGAATCTGTTTCATGGGATGTGAAAATTTGCTCTTGGAAATATTTGTCTTTCGCCAATTACACTAGAACACATTGTGTGGTGAGTTTTATAGGATGCAATACAAATAATTACCATCTTGTTTTTTCAGGTCTGGGACCTAGAAACAGGGTATCAAATATATCAGATTGAAGATGCACATGGCCTGAATACTGAAGTGATCTGTGCAGCCATTGAAATAAATGGTGTTTATCTTGCTACTGGGGCACGTGATGGTAAGGCAATTAAATACTTACCACATTTTTATTACATTTATTTAAAATTATATAATACATGAGCAGATAGAAATCTTCCTTGACTGTCTCAGTGACAGAATAATGAATTTTGGCTTTCTTCCAAGGTGGCAGGAAGGATATGCAGAGAGGAATGCACAACTGTCAGTCTAGGGAAAAGGGTGGGCAGGGGGCTTGTCATGGTTGAGTTTTATTTGATAATGATTCATAGAAAGGTGATTTTGGGCTGTTTGGTCTCTGGTACTTTGCTAACCTATTGCTCTCTGGAAGACTATCTTGAAAGCTCTTGGTCTGAAAACATTTTTCCTTATAGGAATTAGCACCTAGATCTGTAATTAAATGGCTGCAGATAGAGAACAGTAGTTTTTCAATTCTATAGTATCTAAGCCTAATTTTATAGTCTCTGCAGGCACTAAACAATGGAATATGTGTATATGTGTATATATACACACGTTTCCTGATTTTTTTATGTGTTACTTAGGATGCATCAGCTTTACGTAATTTGAGAAAACCTCTCCAATACACAAGTGCTACACTGAACACTGCAGCAACCCTTAATAATTTTGTTATCTGCTAACATGACTGAATAATTCTTCTCTGATTCAAATGTTCAAGAGTACGCACTTGAATTATTAAAACACATTGAATTTGTGAAAGTTGCATCACATAAAGTGGAGGTGGCCTTTTCCACACGGCAAATTGGCCAATGTTTCTTGTTTATACTTGAGAGCAGGGACTGCACCCTTTATGGCAAGCATACCTTAGGAGCATAACAGATGGTGAATGCTATCCATTCTTGCAAAAGTGAAGTCATATGCAATAGCTGATTCACTTAAGATAATGCTGTAGCTCAGAACCCGAAGTCTCCTGCCTGACAGCCTCCACTCCACTTGCTCTCTGATAACATTAGTCCAGAAACAGAAGGTAGACAGTGGTCTTTTATCCTGGGCTGCAGCAAAAACAGACATGGAAAAAAGATGGAAAAATGGTGGTGCTGATGCTGATGTCTACTGCTAAGTTTTGTGTCTCTCAGGGTGCTTGCTTAAGAAACACAAGCATCTTTACAGCTTTTGAAAGACCAGTGTCCTAGCTCTAAACTTTCAATTGTATTTCCTTTTTTATTCTTTCCCTGTTGGATCCAGTTAAAATTTCTGACTTTGAAACACAGGTTATTGCTGAAAGTTCATTCTCTTTTGTATATCTTCCACATCTATGTGTAGGAACAGTGAAAATCTGGGAGTTTGAAAGTGGGCAGGAAGTTAAAGCCTTGCCTTTGGCCCAGTGCAGCAAACATGAGTGTTGTTTGCTGAAGGTAGTTTATCTGAAGGCTACTGAGAGTCAACATGTACTTCTTGTTTTGGAGCAGAGTGGGAAGATGAAAATCATTCAGGTTTGTCAAATTTTTTATTTTCTTTTTTCCTAATCTAATTTGGTATCTCCTTCAAGGTAGAACAGAACTTTTTCATTAATTAGTTAAGTAAACCTTTAGAAACTGTTATGGAGCAATGCAGTTTGTGCACATCATCAAATTAGCTTTCTGTCTTTCTAAGTGTTAATATGTTCATTAGTCCATTGCTGGTTTGTAGCATTCTGATATTTTCTTACTTTGCATTTGCTTCTCTGTTCATGACTGAGATTTCAGTAGTCATAAATCCTTTAAAGTAAAAGCTTTAAAACATTGCTGTTGTTATTATAGACGTTGTTTACCCTGTTTAAATTGCTTCTAGTTCACCAGCAGCGGAGACTGGGTAGAACTGTTCCTGCAAATCCTGTTTATGTATTTAGTCCCACAGCACTGGTCATAGCCCTGCTTTTTAAGAGCACCTCAGGACCATGGCCATATTCTCATGAGGCAGCTGTACCTTTTCCTCTTTCACTGCTGCCTGTCAGCATTATTGTGCTCCTCAGGCAGTGGAGGACACAGCATCACCTTCCTGGGTTCTGGATACCTGTCCTTTGCAGAGAACTGCTGCCCCAATTCAGCAGCTGAGCCCTCAGATTCACTCAGATATTGCTAACCCATCCCAGTCACTTGTATGCCATAGAGGCTGAAGCTCTTCAACTGTAGCCTAATATCCTCATTGGTATATTTTCCCTCTATGGAGAGTAGGTGATCATGGCATTATCCTGCAAAAAAAAATCAATATCAGATCCAGTTTTGGATAAAGGATTTTGTATGTGTATCTAGAATTACTAGATTAAGACAGTGGCTGCTTAAGAACTGATACAAAGAAACAAGACAGTAATAAATCAGATTGACTTGCTTGGCTTGATCTTGAGAGTTTACTCTGTATTCCCTTCATCTAAAATTAACAGGATGCATTTGGAACTTGCAACAATTGTAGTTTCACTTCTCAGACAAACCACGTTTCTCTAGAATTTCCTTCTTCAAATGAGAATGTTTTCCTTGGGACAGAATTCTCCTCTGGAAACTTTAAATCCACTATGCAAGGGAACAAAGTTTGTGGGGAGAGTTAGTAAGATTTACTACATTGATGATACATTTAGGGGAAAAGCACATACATACTCTCATCTTGGTAAATAATTTATTACTTTTGAGCACCCTGATAATAAAAAGTTGTTTTATAAAGTGTTTGCTTTTGATATTCAGATTTTTCTGAAATACTGTGTCACACCAATTGCTCCCCAGAGTTAGTTCTGAAATTGTTAAATTATTTATTCAGTGTAAATGTATCCATTGACAAATGGGATGGTGAGGAGTTGAATTTCCTCCAAGTCTTTATGAATCTAAGTACGTCAATACTCTTTCACAGAATTGCAGAACTACTTTTTTTATACAAATGTTTCAGTGATAATGGGAAACACAAGTTATTAGCTTTTCAAGCAGCCCTCAATATAGTAGTTAGGAAAGTAAACTTAAGTAGCGACCAGCAACAGTTTATCCTTTTTCAGGAATCTACTATAGATCTCTCAATTTTTAGTCCTTCCTCCAAGGTATTTGTTTGATATACTTAATACCATAAGATTTACTAAAATCTTAATCATGCCATCATTCTGGAATTCAAGACATCTATGAAAACATCTGTGAAAACTTAAAGAGTTCATTTCAGTAACCAAAATGGACAGAAATATCAGAGTTAAAGCACAAACTAGATGCTGAAGTGAATTTGTTACAGTCAGAAAAACATCAAGGTAACTCCCAGTAGCCTATAGGCACAATGGGGAGGAATCAGTGACTTGGGGCCATGGCTGAACTGTACCTTCTTCTCACACAGTGGAACCACCACCAGTTTTACTGGTATGGTAGATACAAACTGTAGACTTGCAATGTTAATAAAATAAGCAGCTCTAACCGAAAAGACATCTTACTTTTAAGGAGTAGTTAAACTGAATAAAATCAAAAGTTCTGAACTGCACAGGTGGACAGCTTCTGATATAACACCAGGTGATGTAATGCGAGCTGGAATATCTCTGGCTGGTGCTTTAGTCTGCAGTGTAGGTATATGCTTCGTGATACCTGTAACAGGTTTTGTAGTTGGCACAGAAAACGAGCTTTTGGCACGCATTTGCTGATGCTTTTCCTATTAGTAGAGAAATCCTTTCCTTCCTCTTTCATTAAGTCAGTTATTTTAACAGGGTAACTCAGTTGAAACATATCTATATGTCACGTGGGTGCTTCCTGAGGCCGTGTCATTTCCACAAAGGAATGCAGTTGTCTCTCTGTCACTGAAGCCTGACACCTTACAAACACAGGATTTTTTCCCAGATATTCAGCTGCCATCTGACACCAGTTCTCTGGGGAATGATACAAAGGTGAGAAACGCTTTAAAGTTCCACGTTGGTTACAGAAGATTAGAAAGTAAAGTGTTTACTGTGCCCTTAAGGATTTCACATTTCAGCAACAGGATAAGAACCAAATAAGTATTCCAAACTTTTCTATATACTGAAAGTGTAAAAAAAATCATGTAAGAAGGTGATTGTTTCTAAAGGCTCTATCTTCCTAATAATCCATTGCATGGTTGTTGCCATGATTAAGTAGCTGCTCTGAACATACACTTCACATTCCTGTACAAAATAGTAAGTTGAGATTCTTGTATAAAGTCTTCTGAACATGAAATGCCATTCATCACTATAGCTAGACCAACCTTCAGTAATAGTGGCACATGAAGATCAAGCTGGGTGTTAAAGTGATTTACTTAAAACATAAATTTGACATTTTACTTTAATTGTTGACCAACTTAACTTGAATAGTCCATGAGACTTAAGTAATTTTCATTTTGTTTCATTTCACTAACTCTAACAGATCTGGATGATGTTTACGGAAAGGCCATTATATCTCTGTTCAGTGACTTACTCCTTTAACTTGATGAGTATTTCTGTAGATACCTACTTCTGACTAACCTTCAGTTCTCAGAGCTGTTTCTATATGCTCTAGCTGCAGCTGTCAGGATGGCAGATGAAGATGCCTGTCCTCTGCAGCAGGGAGTCTCCCAGTACTGTCGCTCCCTGCTTCCTTCTGGTGCTTCTGTATAGCTCAAATACAATAGTGTTAGAATAGCCTTCCACATGCAGTTGTTGTAGATTTGGGCATCTTGTTAAATTAACAGTTAAAACATTTCACTCTAGTATGTCCATATTGCTCCTACTAATTCTTTTTTAATGTTCTTTCTAGAATTTTATACCTTCTGTGGAAATTAAGTGTTTTGATGTTTTCAAAGACGAAGGATACAGTTTGATAGCTACAGGGAGTGCAAATGGTACAATAACTTTGTGGGATTTTGAATCTGCCTCTGTGAGATGCCTGTAAGTATTGCTTTCATGAAGGCATTTTGATCTCTCTTATTTTATACAAACTTTTCAAATTGCTCTCTCAAATTCTAAGATACCTGACTGTAAAAGGTGATGGATAACCAAGAGTTAAAGTGCCAATTTATGTGCCCCTCACACTTTCTTTCAACTTAAATTACTTTACTAGCTAGTCCTGACATCATTGGCAGAAGTGATCAAGAGAGAGTCATTTGAGGAAGGGATGATGTAATTAAGAACAGCGTTTTCATGTAAGAAAATGACAAAAAGTGAGCATAGGATGGTTTCATATTCTCAGGTGAATTAAGCTGCTACATCAGGAAACAATGGCAGCATGTCTGGTTAGATTGAGTGTAGCAGCACAGCAGTATTTTTGTGTTGGTGATGGAATACATGCCTTTTAAGAGCACACAAAGTCTGTATTTAACTATCCTACCCCGTAGCTGCACAGCATCCTTCCCATGTAACATTAGCATGTCTGTGAAAAAGTGAGCTGAGTTTTTCTGTACCACAGGAAATAATCAAAACTTAACTGCAGTTCTGACTCTGTCTCTTCTTTTGATTTTGCCTCCCCATATACGAGGGAGCCAACTCATGTGGGTGCATGGAAGACAGGAAAGTCAGTGCTTTGTTAGTAAAGTATTTTACCCAGGGTTCACATGACTGGTTTGAATGCCAGGAACCAGTCTGACAAAAAAAAAAAGGTACCTTTCTAATATTAACTTATCTAATTAACTTCAACATGTTACTGTACTTTTCTCTTTAATACTAATTTTCAAGGAAAAATCTTGGCTGAATGAATTATTCATAATTTCATCAGGTTCCTCTTTTTCCTGGTATTGTCTACCTACTCTTCACTGACATTAATCTAACATAGCTAATTAACTGTTTCTGAAAAACTGTCTAAAAATTTTAGGTGACTTGCATTCTGGGAAATAAAATATTTAATTTTTTAGATTATAATTACAGTGTGCAACTTTTTCTGGGAACAATACACAATCTATCTGACATATCCTGTACAAACATCTTTATTTTCAGGTGTAAAATTGATAAAGCCAGTCAGGCTTCAGCCCTTCAAGCATCTGGAGTCAGCTCTGTGTTGTTCCTTGTACATAATGCTTTCTCTTCCAGGTAACTGTGTGCATTTTATCATCCCTCAGGACAGGTCATTTGGAATTTTGTTATATGAAACTGATGTAATGTTTGTCCAGTATAGCAAATCTAAACTGAGGTTTTCTTTGTAGTTAATCAATTCAAGTTCAAACAGTTAATTAGCTTTCCCGCCCTTAAACCTTTGTAATGTTTATCAATCCATATTACATGGTCTTTTTCTATCATTCCACTAAGCTATCTTTTTGTCCTCTAAATGACCTCGTAAGTCTCAATTCTGTTGGTTTCAACAGGAGCCAGCTTCTGTCAGGTACCAGTTTTGTTGTGCACTGTACCTTTTTAAGGTACAGATAACTTTGGCAGCAGACTTCCTTATTTACAGCTCATACAATCCCCATGCTATTAGATACTCTCAGTAAACAAAGAGAGAGGCAAGCTCTCCCAGTTATTCAGGTACTTTTGTCAAAAACAGAGCAGCTGGGACATTGGTGTAAGCTATGTGGCAAGAACATCTCATGAGCACATTTGGAACTTTTGACTCAAATGTAAACATTGAAGACCAGATACAATTTTTTTTTCCTGAGTTTCTTCCACAGACTCTCATTTATAAGAATTTTCTTAACAGACTGAAAATAAGTTTCAAGAGTAATTATTTGCAGAGAAAAGCATAGTGTAAAATGAAATGGAACAAGCATTTGGCATGCACTGAATTTTTCCCCCTCACTTCTTAGGCAAAAACACCAGTGTTAATTTTTGTTTACTATGGATTTGATTTGCTCAAAACTGCTGTCAGGAGATATTGGCTGTGTAATATGAAAATATTACCTAGTTACTTGTATAAACTTCTAAAACACCAAAAACTTTTGGTCTAATTAGTCTAATAAATTTGGGGAATATTCAGTATGCTACATTACACTAGACGATGTTGTTTTCCAGAAAGCAAGCATGGAAGAATGTCAGTGACCTCCAATAATTTCTTTCACACAGGAGAATTAGTTCCCTGCCCTCTACTAATGCTGCTGTGAGAAGTGAAATTGGTGCCATCCCAGAGCACAAGAGCAGTTCTTTGAACCCATGTAAGGTAAGTAGAGTGGCTTCGTGGGTTTGTTAGCATTCAAAACAAACTTCTGTTTTAAAATCCTGTAGCTTCCTAAAATCCCTCCATAGAGCCATGCACGAAACTTAAGTATCAAGAATTACAGAGAAATGAAGTTTGTTCACCTAAGCTGAATGAGGTGGAGAATTTAGAAAATGTTCTGTCTAGCAGCTGACTCTGTGATACATGGGATAGCTGACTATCAAAATGTTTGTCAGATGCTTATCACTAGCAATTCTGACTTTCAGATGGAGGTACAGAAGAGCTCGAAGGGGAAATAAAATAGATAAATCATGAAGTACTTGAGTAAAAGTGGAACCACACCAACATTGCAGCCACATTTGCTTGCATACATTCTTTCAAATGACAGTATGTTTTTGGTGTGGTGATTTTTTTTTTTTAATTTGCCATCCAGGATGTCAGTGTCTCAAATGGTGTAATTTTATTAAGTATAGCATTATTATTTCTGTGACACTTGGAGTCCTTTTATGGCATATCTGAAAAGCAACAAATAGCAAGTAGGCAAAAAGGCAAAAATCCTGCTACCTCTCTGATTCTTTCCAGGATGTTGTTTCAGCAGAGCATGGCATTTGCATAGATTACCAAGTAGACACAGGACTAACTGAAATCTACAATATTTTGTGCTATGTTGTAGTTAGAATAACAAAATGGGCAGTCATTTGCAGGTCTTAAAAACACATCAAGTCTTATAGATCAATAGGTAGGATGAGATTGAAGTGGCTTGTCCTCTTCTCAGACACCTCAAACACTCATGGCTGCATAGTTGCTCCTGCCTCATTTGACTTGGCAATTTTTGAGACAAGTATAATGATTGCTGTTACCCTTGGGGATCCCCAGAAGCCTATATAGATAGCAAGGCACAAATGAACAACTGTGACAGTCCTCATACTGAAGATACAGATGTGAGTAAATGTTATTGCTATTTATGCCCTTTGTTCCTCTTTGCAACAAGGACTGTAGGGATGTTCTGAACAAAACTCCCTAAGACTTCTAGCTTACCTTCACAAGACTGTAAGTGACCGACTTTGCTTGCCCTAAGAAATGAATGCCTTTCAGCCAAATTTAAGTTTAGCATGCTCCTAAATTCCAGTCCATTTAATTTGTGATTTGTTCATCTGTGGGTTTTAATCTCCTCAGAGGAAATGTTTCTAGTTTTCACTTAGTGCTGTCCCAGATTGAATGTAAACTGGAGAAATATCTGAATCCTACAATTTAAAAAAAAATTTAAGTCCTTAGAATTATTTCAACTAGAGAACTGTTCTGTAGTTTCACACAAGTTCCATTTTCTAATTCTGTTATATTTTATTTCTTGATTTTAGGAAAATATAAGAAGTGGTAGAATTAATACTCAAATAATGACAGGTATGGAAAGACATTTGTAATTCTTTGTTGTTCATAGAATGTCTGGGCTGGAAGGGACCTCCAAAGGTCATCTAGTCCAACCTCCCCGCCATAAGCAGGACATCTCCAACTAGATCAAGCTACTTAGACCCTCATCTAGCCTGATCTTGAATGTCCTCAGGGATGGGGCCTCCACCACCTGTCTGGGCAACCTGTTCCAGTGGTCTATCACCCTCATACTGAAGAGCTTTTTCCTAACATCTATCTAAATCTACCCTTTTCTAGCTTAAAGACATTGCCCCTTGTCCTGTCACTACAAACTTGGACCAACTACTTGTTGGTCCGTGAGTTCTGCCCAGAATACCACGGAAACTGAGTTTGTCCATTTGTCTGGCAAACTGTGTTTAGAATAATTGGAATAACATTGGTTTGTGGGTGACACACCTCAAGGTCTGTTTCTCCCTCTCAGTTTGCAATTATTTCCCAAAAGCCAGGCCAGGATGCAGGATACACAAGGGCTTAATGGCTGGTTTTTCTAAACTGATGTGATGCTGAGAGCCTCAGTCAACTATACGCACTTCTCTTCCACATAAGTATTCCAGCAATGAATTATTTAAGTGGTATAGCAAGAGCCAAATTGAATTAAGCAAGAGTGAATGGTTTCACAGACTTCAAAAAGCAGATGAAATTTTAGAAGGAAAATTCTTCCCTATAGTATATATTCTAAACAAGAGAGAGCTAGATACTTAAGAGTTTAAGCTGTGCAACTGGAGTTGGTGAATTTGCAAGAAGCAAATCCTCTAGATTCTTCTGAATTCTTTAGACATCCTCTGCTGGGAAGCAGACTTTCCCAAAACAAAGAAATTTGATCACCTGAAATGTTGATTTAAGCTGAATTTATTTTGCAAATAAAACATTACCTGAAACCAGAATCCCTAAGCCTTGTAGCTGTCCAATGAAATAAACACTCATGTGAGGAGTGAATGTCTGTGTCCTTCAGGACCTTCACAGGAGGCCCCAGTGTCTCCAGCTCGGGGGATGTCACAGCCGGAACTCAAAAAAGGTCCTCTGTGAGCGCCACCTTGCATTTAGCAAAAGGTTTGAACTGGATAAGTTAGTATAGAAATCTACAATTCCAGAATTTTAGTGTCATTTAGTTATTAAACTTCACATTTTTGCTGAATTTATAGTAATCTAGAACCCTCACACAAAGGCTGCAGAACTACCTCTCATTTGTCCTGATGACCACTGTCTTGCACTCCTCCTCTCTCACTAGTATTTGCAGTTTCTGTACAATGTTTTGCTGTGCTCTAAATAAGATTCCCTTACATCACGTAGCAATCGTTCTGGCTGGTCTAGAGAACATTGTGAAGATTGTTCTAATTTCTTTTCAGTTGTCTTTTATCCATATCTGTAATGTTGTCAGAGTAATGCCACCTTGATGATAGAATTTATTTTCAAATTTCCTTTTTTTGCTAGTGTTATGTAATTTCTGTGCATTCAAAAGCAGTACTAAAAACTATTAAGAAAGTGTATTATCATTTATGTTCCAAAGCAGAAGACACAACTGTGTCTAAGAGTGTCCGATACGTGAAGATGAATGTACAGTTACCTAAAGCTGTAGCAGGACACCCACCAATACTGGCTTCTGCTCATGAAAATGGCTGTATCTGCCTATGGAGTATTCAGGTAGCTGTCTGAATGTCTTTGGGATGGGACTGGACCATTGAGAAGTTAATTCTACTAATCTTTGGAAATATGTTTTTTAACTAGTGATTGCAGCATCAGATATTTTATTGCTTTTATCGGTTAACAGTTTCTTCCACAGACATAAAGTAGTTCTGCTTTAGTAACTGAAGTAGTAATGTCAACTGGAAAATGAAGAAACATGATTTGAAATAATAATTGACTGTAAATTTATGTGAAAAATCTAGAAGTTGATTTTTCACCCACAAATATACTTTTGAAGAAAAGCAAAACAGAGTGTTGTCCTCTCAGAAGAGGAGAAATACATCTGGAACACTGCACAAGTCAGCTAACAATAGTAGGGTTACAAATCAGGAGAGAATTATAATCAGGAGAGAATAGAGACATGTTGTGTCTACAGCTACAATCAGTTTGTAAAGCCAGTCATGCAACAAAATACCAATGTCTTAGTTGTCCTATCATCTCAGATCTCTAACACTCTGTTCCAGAAAGCATCTTACTCTAAACAAGAGACATAAAGTAAATACACCAAGAAGGGGGAGTACCATAATATGATGTGATCACCACCTGCAACGATGACAAATGTTATTCAGTGTCAGCCATGCAAGGGTCTAACACAAATCCCAGGAAAGGCAAGTCACAGGGAGAATTTTTCAGAAAAATGGTGAGGTAGCTTTGCAGATGTTTTATGCAAAAATAGAATAAAATGGTAAATGTACTCAGGTATAGTAGGTTTGAGCTTTGCTGGCTTTTGCGGTCTTCACAGTTGATGTATTAGTGTGCTTAGATTCCTGTAGGAATCTCCAAGTTCAGATGATGGTGATGTCACCAGTGACATGAATGTCATCGTCACTGTGCATGGAGCAGTTAAGAATCTCCTTACCAGCAAGACATTCTCCCCACCTCCTCTCAAACCTGAAGAGGCAGTAAGGGAGAAAGTCTACTGATCCTTGAAAAAATGCAACAAGCTGGTGATGGAGACATCATGAGTCCACTTGCAGTGTGCAACAACAGTTCAGTAGCAAATGAGGTGCATGCTGATGACATTCCCAGCAAATAATAGATAAGCAGTGAAGCAGGGGTTGGTACAGCTAGGCTGAATTGTCTGAAGAGTGAAACAGCTTGTTCTTTTGATGTGGAAGAAACAGCAGTAGAGAAGAATACACCCCAGCTGTCTTGGTCATTCAGTAGATTAGGAAGCTACCTTTTTAGCAGCTTTCTGAATAGATATGACCTGTGCAATGCTGAATAGATCATGTCAATGGCACTCAACTTCTGATGCATTTGGTTTTTTTCTTTTCCACATAGACATTATAAAGATAAATATGTTTGTTTATTTATTTACTTATTTTAGGGAAACTTAGTGCAAGAAATTTTCCCGTTTTCAAAATATCCTACAGTTCCTCTGACAGCACTATGTACAGACATCTCCACTAAAATGCTTTTGGCAGGCAGTAGGGGTGAGTAAAGATGTTATTCAGTCTGCTCAGGACAGTCTGTAGGACCACAAAATATACTGTGAACGGGCCAAAAATGTGAAAATGAAGGTCCAAATTCTCCCATACTTTCTCCATCAAAGCTATAATTAAATATTTGGAAAGGGTATTTTCTAGTATGAAAGGATGGTAGATTAAACCTTAGTGTTAACAGCATTATCAGCAGAATTGTTTTCATAAAAGAAATTACATTTTTCTTCATTCACAAGCCCTGCGTATACTTCCCATCTGAATTACTGTATTAATATCAAGGGCAAAGATTACTGCTAAGGACAAGCAAAAATTTCACATCAATGGTAATAAAACTAAATTAAAAAACTTCAGCTGTGGCTGTACCAAGAGCCATGATTCAGAAACTGATATTGAGTGCGCAGCAATGGCACCAGCATTATTCTGCTGTACAAGGCAGGAAAGCACTTGTGGTCTGTGCTAGCAGCTCATTGTTAGACTTAATTTTGCACCAAATCTGGCTTTCATTTGACAGAAAGTCCAAGAGCTTATCTACTAATTCTCTTCCAAAACTTTAGAATCACCCTGGCAATTTTCCTCTTCTGTATCTGTTGTGTGAGATTTTTGTCCTTTAATATGTCACTTTTCTTATAAAATACTTATTAGAAATGTTATGCTGTCAGAATTTGGATGGAGCAAGATTTTTTTTCCCCCCAATTTGTTTCAAAGCTGAGTACTAGCTTGACGCTGATGCTAAAAATCAAGATGAATTTCCATTCCCCATTGATTCAAACCAGTAAATGAGTTCAGGAAGGTAACATGCACTGAACAGGATTTTAATTAGTTGTGGAAAAGTATCCACCCTATTACCTATCCATCTGATACTCTCACTTTGTCCTCATGTGCCACTGTATGTCTGCTTTTCATGCTTTTTTCATCCTTCTCTTTTATCTGCAGTGCTACTACCAATTTCTTGTTCCCGTTACAGATTCTTCCTTGTTAGGAAAAGGTCAACTTCTCTGTCAGCCTCCTTGCTTGCTTGCAAATGTACAGTCCTGGAAACTAGATGTGACCAGCATGAAAGTTGGAATTGCACAGATTTTTCTGGCTAGTAGTAGAAATGAGAGATAAGAGGCAACTTCATCAGGAAAGAGGGAGCCTAGGCAGGAAGCTGAGCAATTATGGGTTCTAAGGAAAATGGTTCTTTGATTCTAGCTTCATGAGTGTACTGTTGTAAAACATTAAGCTTTCCCTATGTATGCAATTATTAAAACTTTGTGTATTTTACCAGGATTGAAAAGCATTTCAATCCCTAGGTTGAAATATATACCTAGTTTGTGCAATTGATAACTGTCTTGACAAGATTACTCTTATTTTTTCCTCATGTCACTTAGAGAAAAAACTTCACCTTCTTCCCATTTCAATTAGTGACACATTGCTCACAAAGCGTATATATACATTTCTTTGCATATTAATGAATAGTTTATTTTCTACTCTGTGCTTGCCAATGAGATAGTGATATTTAGCTTAAAATAACTTTCACTGACCTGTAATCTCTGCTTCATTCTCCCCAGTGTTTACAAAGAGCATACAGTAGCAAAGAGCAAACTAGTAGCACTACTGAAATTTATTGATACTTGCTTTTTCCTTTCTTAAACAGAGGGACATATTATGTGCTGGAGCATTGCCTCATTCTTAGAAGATCCACAGAAGAGTAAAAATGTAAGGAAAAATCTGACAGATTTTCTTAACTTGAACAGTATAGCAAGATAAGACAGAGAAAAAATGGATTCAGAGCTCTGTGGGGACTAAAAATGTTTCCTTCACATAAAGGTCATGTCTTTTGCTTGAAATAATAACTTGATGCTGTGAAAAACCAGAAAGAGATAAGGAAAATTATGTTAGCATTATTCCACTGTGTTCAAAGAGGCTCCATTAAGAATTAATTTAAACATGTCTCCTGAGTGGTGTTTATACCACATGCCATTTACAGGCTGTTCTCATGGAGGGATTAGTTTTTCAGCTCTTCATTTTCAGAAAGCACTGCTGATATATCCAGTAGGTTAGCAGCCATGGTGGCATACAGAACTGGCTGAGATGTGGTTATGTCACTTTTTTCTCCTCAGCAGATAAAGGAGGAGCTCTGCTGGAGGGCACACTCCACTGAAGTGGTTGACTTATTTCATGAAGAGGAGAAGAATGTGGTGGTGACAGCATCTATTGATGGTTCAGTTAGGTATAAAAATGACTAACACTTCTTACTGCTATGGCAAATCAGTTGAACCGTTCTCCAAAGTTCCCCTTCTTGCTGGACTTGTATATAGGCTATAACTTAAAATACAATATTGGGTACATTTTCTGTATTTTCTGCATTTGCTGCACCTGAAAGAACTAATTTTTTTTTAAATGTAATGCTTCCAGTTTTCCTGGGAAGCAAGACCTTTTCCAGACTGTCATTTTCTTTCATCAAGGTGACCTTGAATGCAGAGGTAGTGGCCTCATCATATTAGAAATGTTCTAATGTTCCTCTAATCCTATTTTAGCTTTCAATACTTGTTAAATTAACATTGACTCCTAAGCATTGCATCTAACCAATGCTTATACAATTAAACCATTTCACTCTGAAGATGCCTTAAAGACAACCTTATTTCCGTCTTGGCTAGTTGAGTACATTTGAAGGTTTTTCTTTTGGTTATTTGGGAGAATCAATGAGGAAATTTTGTGTAGATCCTGCTCTGGTGGTAAGCACCTTACTGTAGGAGCGATTCAAGATATTTATTCCTTTACTCCTCAGCTGTGTAATTGTAAAGATTAATTCTTTGTTTTAGATTTTTACAACATCCTTTTGAAATTATTTTTTTTCACTCTTAAGTCACTTACATTATGAACAGTGAACTTCAATATCTTTTTTTTTTATGACCAGCATACTGGACTCTAGAACAGTGCTGCAGAATTGATAGTGTAGACATTTTTTCACATTTGTTCCACTTCTAAATGTATCTATTTTCCTTTCTGTCCTTTGGAACTGTTTGTACTACGTCTGTAGGCTCTGGCATGCCACAAATGGATACTATCTTGGGTACTTCGGACAACCCAGGAAGCTGGAATTATCAGATGTCACTCGGTTGGTTTTGCCTTGTGATGTTAGTAGCTTTCCTACTATAATTAAAGAGGAAAGCAAGCATATGGAAAAGAAGTCATCTGAATATCCTCTCGTGTTGGACAGGGACAAGTAAGATCTCATATATTTATATACATATATTATTGGGGGAACAGTTCTGAAAATATACTGAAAAATATACACCTTTCCACTGAAGGTCAGAAAAAAATAGTATTTCCTATGAGTTTAGAGAAGTCCTTTTTGAAAAATATTTTTGCACAGCATGGATAAATTTCTTAATTGCTGTGACTAGGTAAAAGTCAGGATTAGGTGACGTTCAGTATTTGAATTCAGTAATAGTGATGACTAGATAATTGTCTCAGATTTTAGCCTGATTTTAAAGTCTGTCTGTTATGTACACTGTTCAGGTTAGCAACTCGTTTTGTTTACAGCTTCACGAGCTGATATACTTCTGGAATCCCAAAAAAATTTATTGAAAAGTTTCATGTGAACAGTTTCAACCCAATTCCTTCTGTAAGAATAAACCCTATTTAATCTTTCAGTTTTCAAAATGGTCTTTTTAAATTTGCTGGGATGTTATGGATACATTCACGTGCCTCTGACCATGATGTTCTGATACTGGCATAAATTTATGTTCAATAGCAGTGCTGGACCTCTCTCCTTCTAGGTAGAATTCGCAGAGGATATAGGTTAGTTACAAGTCCAGTTAAAGAGCCTTGGCTCTCTAGCTTGTCATATTCTAGTCCTGGAGCATCTTGGTTCATTAATTAGTGGATTGACCAAATGAACATAAATACTGAAGCAGGAATTTTCAGAGGCAACATGCATGGTGCCTTCAGTAACAAAGCAATCCAAATCTGGGAGAAATTACTTCAGGGCTTATAAGGTCATGCAAGCTCTAGTGGTAAGGTTTTATATACCGTGTGCATTCTTAGGCTGCCTTTTAACCAATGCACTTTGTGACAATGGGAGATCTCTAGGTGCTTTATTGTTACCCCATTTATGTTGGTATCCTGCTAACACTTATTCCATTGAGCTCTTGCTAGTGTGAGTAGTCCCACTGAAGTCAGACCAGTACCTCATCAACATAGAGAAGTGCTTGGCTATGTATGAAAGACTACTCCTGTAGTCCTTCTGAATAGTCAGCAGCTAGTTTGAAAACTTTGGAGTCAAAGATACTATAATTAAGCCAGCTAACATTAAAGAAACTTTCCATAAATGACATGCCTGTGTCAAACTGTGACTACTTTTTGAGGTCTCTCCAAATATTTCAGTAAAGGAGAATGTCTATCATACATTAAAAATACACTGGAAGCAAATGAGAATCCTGTTTAACTGTGCAGAGAACTAAAAATAAAAAGGTGTCCATATGCTGCACAATAGAAAATTTCAGTCTTATTCTAGATAGTCTGTGTTTGCACCTCAAGACCTTGATTAATTGGATTAATTTTCCAAGGAATATGTCTTACAAGGAGCAGCTGAGGGAAATGGGATTATTTAGTCTGGAGAAGAGGAGGCTGAGGGGAGACCTTATTGCCCTCTACAGCTCTCTGAAAGGAAATTGGAGTGATGTGGGTCTCTTCTCCCAAGTAACTAGCAATAGGATGAGAGGAAATGAGCTCAAGTTGTGCCAAGGGAGGTTTAGACCACATATTAAGGAGAATTTTTTTACTGGAAGAGTGGTGAGGCATTGGAATAGGCTGCCCAGTGAGGTGGTGAAGTCACCATCTCTGTAGGTGTTCAAAAAACATGTAGACATGGGGCTTGGGGACATGGTTTAATGGTCATGGCAGTGTTGGGTTGACAGTTGGACTTGATGATCTTAGAGGCCTTCTCCAACCTTAATGAGTTTATGCTTCTATGTACCAGATAGTGCAATGGATAGCTAGTCAACCATCATCCAAAATGCTCTGTTATTTATGGATGTTACGCTTTGTTCTGTATAGGATACAGAAGCTTCTTTTGGGTCAAGTCAGTTGTCTTCATAATGCTAGTACAATTTGGTTATTAGATAGCTATCCTATAAGTCACTAAGATAATGTTTTAGAATTTCAATTAACAAATCAGGCTATCAGTGCCATCAACAGGTATTCCCCAAATGTGCATATACCTGAGAAGGTACAAACCCAGCTGAATAGCATAGGTGTCTACAGTTTAAACAAGCAGCTCAGGTCATGTATTGAAAAATGTCAGCAGGTAGATAAACCCATACAGAGTAGTCTCAGTTTCTCTCTGGACTTTACATTTCCTTAGCTTGTGTGATCTGACTTATTTTTCTGACTACAAATTAAACCCTGTTAATCCACACTAACAGATACTCTAGATCATTTCTTCTTGTGATTACCTTTGGAAACCAGACATATGAGTAGAGGGAACCTTCTTTGTTATGAATGCAGCATATGGGAAGTGTAGTCGGAGCTGACAGAAATACTGCAAAGCCATTATCAGACAGCACCCAGCTGTGGTAACTAATGCCTTTATATTAATATTTCCAGCTTTCTAAAGATGACAAGCCAGGATCTGTATTGACAAAGTGTTACCTAAGCATTTTGTAACACCTATGAAAGTCCTAACGTAAGTTATATTTTGAAGATACATGGAATAATTTATACATCAATGTTGGTTTTTTTGAACCAGCTAAGAATCTTACATTCAAAGTTGCCATTTTGATAGGAGTACCAGATTTTTTCTGTCTTGTGTGTACAGGTGGAAGTCACTAACCAGATCACCTCCAGTTTTAAAAAAGCCTGAACATGTGGACATAATTCAGGACTTCAAGTTTTTCAAAGCTCTGGCTTCTCCAAAGGTACCTAATGTATATGACAAATTTCTTTCTGTTCTGTGCAACATATAGGAAATGCAATTGTATTTCTTATTTAGAAATCAGTCGTAAGTAACCCTACATGCCCTTTTCACTCAGTGGACAAACTAGAACAAAAATGTATGAACAGAAGGATTGAAGAAACCTCTCTGTTTTCATTCTTATTGTTTCATACCCAAATTCCAATTTAGAAGGTAGCACACACTCATTCACTTGTTTGGTTTAACAGCTATAAAAAAACCTAGAATATTCATATGCTCCAACAGAAAACCTAAATAACTTAAGTTTACTTGAAGGAAGTGTGAGAATACTACAATAGTGAATCCCTGGATATGTACGATGGTTCTTCCAGGATGCCCATGAAATCACAAGCCAGGAGAGTTCTGAGTTAGTTATTATTCTGAATACTTTCTACAACTCTAACAGAATAATGGTGGAGCTCCTCCAGCTTTACCTTGAAAGCTCTTAAATGTCATGGGAACAGATAAAAATTCTTCTCTTGCAATGGTAGTAAAAAAGGAAAAAGATACAAATATGGCCACTTGCCAAAAAAAGCTTCCATTAGTGCCTTTCCAACCATTCTTCCCCAAAGGTTAGTAGTCAACAAGTGAGGGGCATAAACTCTTAACATCCTCTCCTAAAATTTGTGGTACTGTGGGTCTCCTCTGTACCACAATCTGATATGCTAATACAGCCAGCTAAGGTCCAAACAGTCAGTAGAAGACAACGTTGCTCCGTATCACCAGCTACTTTTCTGTGTACCTGGGTGAATGGATGACTGTTTGTTGCCATGTCTTGCCAGCCACTTCCTTTCTCACTTATCCTTGCTGACTGGGACACCAAGGGTACAAGATCAGCTCTCATCTCGTTTGGGTGCTTTGAAGCCAGCGGATTACTTGCTGCTAGGCAAAAGGAGTCAAGCATGAAGTTTTGAGGCATTCTGGCATTTCACCTCAAGACAGCAACAAGTTGATGAGCTCCTTTAAGTCACAGGTGCTGCACAGTCTCCAGCCTGTGTTTAAATCACAGGGAAACTGATGTAGCTGCTTTTGTGCTCTTTTGTAGAGCGTGCACTACAAAGTCATGGCAGTGGATCGTTGGTTCCCTGCTGTTCAACAGCTGCAGTAGATACAGCACTGTGTAGTAAGAGAGATCAGTGTTGGTGGGAAACATGTTGATGCTGGGTAGAAAACATGAAATTTACTGTAACAAATCAGTGGTTCAGTACGTTGTGGGACAAGGCAGTAGAGGTGGGCTTTACCTAGTCATTCAAAAAGATGACTCACTGTAGGTCTCGTGGCAGGAGATATGTGGCACACGTTAGCACTGGAGTCCCTTCTGATTAAGCTTTTTATGAGAAAAAGGTTTGATTTCCTATCATTTACCTCAGAGCAGAACAAACCAGTGGACTTCTGTTTGCTCCTCATACTAGAGGTGTGCTGTTTAGTGGCTGTGCATGTATACCCAGAGTATATGATTAACTCATCCATAATTCCGTTGTCCTGTCCTTCTGAAATGGGTCATGCCTAGCAATTAATGCACATGAGTAATGCTAAGAATTAACAGACACTGGAAGAGATTCCCTTTGGAATGTTGTACGTTGTTGAAGATGATATCTCTTAATATCAATGTTACATTACTGAATGTACTATAGTAATATTATTAAGACCATGAAAAAATGTAAGTAGAAAAATCTTTGAATAATTTACCATTTCAAATTAAACTCTTTTTTTTCAAATTTGAAGGAAATAAGATCTTGGTAGTATTTCAAACTGTAGGTGCATTTTTTTTATCCTTTTTGGAGGATCATAAATTGGCTTCCTAGGGTGAAATCACCACTATATCATGTAAAGAGAGTTTCATTTCGTGCTCTCTTTGTGAGTACAGTGCATAGGTAGGTCTCAGCATTCAACTGAGTGGATGAACTGTCAAGGTATCTCAGGTATTTTTGCAAATCAAAAGCTTTCAGCAGTTAACAGCAGAAATGTCGTGTTCATCTACAACTTCTCCAACTGGCTGCTGAAGTGTTTGTGATTTGCAAAGCCAAACAGAACAATAGCCAGCCAGCCAGCACCATGATGAAGCTGTCATCGGCAAGGGAGTTATTACTCCTCTTGTCTAGACTTACATTGTACTCTGATAGCATGCATCCACCAAACTTGACAAGTACCACAAAAATGATTCCTTTATTGAGGTTATCCATGGTGTTGATAGGTGAGAGAACCAAGTAAGTGTTTAAAACTAGCTTTAACTTAGATAATAAAGAGTATTTTAGTGTTAACTCTTGAATTTGTGTCATTTGGGAAGCTGGAATTTTGCTGGCTGTGCATTTTATATAGCAGAAGAATGATCCCCTCCTAACTGAGAAAAAACAACAAACATTCAAGGCAGCCTTTACATGGCACAAAGAAAACCTGTGCATAAACCATAGTCGCTCCACACAGCAATAGATACACAGTTGTTCAGATAAGATGAATGTCACCATGCAATTCAATAACAGAAGTAATGTCTTCATTACTGTTTGTCTTCAGCTAGTAATGCACTGACTTTGGCTTCCCTTGGCCAGATCTATAGACAACCAGTGGAAAGCTTTGCGTCTGGAAACAGAGAGCCTGGTGCAGTATTTGGGTATCTTCCTATATATGAGGTAAGCACAAGTGTTTTCTGCCTTTTGCAGTGGCATGCATACAGCAGAAGCCATTAGCACCAGTCAAATATTAGTCACATGCTCTGACATTCTACTGTTAACTGTCTGCTTCTCAATGTAATTTTCTAACATGGTTTGCCTTGCTGCCTGTCCAACTCCATTCTCCATTTGGTGGAAGCTTGGGAAACCAGTTGAACAGAGCATGCTGCAAAAGTGAGTATTACAGACTTCTATTTTAAACTCATATCAAGTTTTTTGCTCAGATTCAACTCTCTTAGCCAACCCAAAACCTATTGGTTCTTATCTGTGCAGAGCTTTGGCTATTTTAAGTTAATATTATTTTATGGGTACTATTGATTTTATTTATTGCAAGCTGTCTAGCAAGGCTTCATAGGTTGTTCTTTCCTGGAGAAAGACCAGAATGTCCACAGCCTTGTCTATCCTACCTATCACAGGATGAAAAGAATCATCTCTATCAGAGGTGATGATCCCTTTCTTTAGAGGATACCTAGAGAAGTAGCTTGGGTGAGACTCCAAACATCTAGATGGCTGGTCAAGTGGGATGGGTGGGGTAACCCGCAGCCAATGTATGAGTTAATGCTTGTGCACGCAGCAGTACGGAGTGTCTCAGAAACAGAAAACTTGGGAGCACAATGTTCAAATACTTATCATGTGCTGTTCTCCTGACCATTAATGTGCCTTGGAAATCTTCTTCTGGAAGAAAATGAAAAATAGAAGATAAAATGCAGGGAGTCTTACGCCTTGGCAAGTTAGCAGCAACTACACTGAAACCATTGGCACTGCAATGGATTCTCAATAAAATGAGATCAGACTTTTTTCTGTGAGCTACATGCACAAAAAATAATTTTTTGCCTTTGCTGTTAAAAAAGGCTGTCAATGTGGCCTGTTCACCTGAATATATTAATTAGTTCTTGAAATTTTACTATTTTCTTTTGAAGGACTTCAGTGGAACAAAGCTGAAATGTCCAGTGCCAGTGGATGGACAGTGGAGACAGGTTTCAGTGGAGAATATGGTCAAGACAAATAAACAAATGTTTGTCTTCAGGAAAGTGGATTAGCAGGTTCCTTATTTCATTTTTTTTCCTCTTTTTTTTTTTTTTTTTTAGTTTCTATTATATTTCCATCCACTCCACTATTAAGTAGAACATGTAAAAATCTGATCTAATCTTCTATTCCTGTCCTTCATGCTGAAGAAAAAATATTAATAAAGCCAGAGTATGATCATAACAAGATACTCAGATAACAATTCATCTCACTCCACTTTTTGATGGTAAAGAACGAAAAGTAGCTTACTATGATTAACTGCTTAAAGATTCAGAGCCATAAATCTGCAAATTTTGTGAGCCATAGAGGCTTCTCTGAAGAACAAGAAATGTTGCTCCAGAGGTACTGCTGTAATGTTCCTCATGTTTCAGGAGCTTTGGTATCCTTGGATAGGCAAAGAGTTGATGGGATTGTTCCATAGATAACACACAAATTCCACAGTATCCTAGTCAAATATCTTCTTCCAAAAACGTTTAGATTTCCTTCTTAATGCTGTGGAGATAAGACAGAAGGAAGACTGACAACTAGGTTCAAGTAATGAAAACCAACTCTGATTAGAGATACCTGGATTTAGGTCACAGCATCATAGAACATGCCATCTTTAAGTCTGCAATATTTTCAGCTCAGCTTTTAGATGTTTACTTACATGTAATTACAGAAACAGAGACAAAAAAAAACCAAGCAAAGCTCCTTGCAATCATTTTGTTAATGCTATGTGGACAAGTCTTCAGAATTACCATTCTAACACCTTTTAGTGCCAATATTTTTGTTTCTTTAGAAGATGCCTTGACCAAAACTATTAACATAATTATATGGCTGTATTTAAAAAAAAAACCAAACAAACAAACAAAACACATTTTCAGCAGCTCAGATTCCTTCTGGTTTATTCTACATTGTTTTAGAAACATGCCAACATGTCACAGGAGCAAAAATCTGTTTAGGTAAGATTTTTTTTTTTTTTTTAATTAGTTTTTCTGACCAATTCACTGCCTGTCAGTTCAGGCTTATAGACAAAATCCTGATCCCTTGTTGCACCAATGTAAATCTTAGCTATGCAAATTTAAAACAGTAAAAACCACTCCAGGTCAACTCAATTTACCCCGTTTATTTTCATCATTTTTATTATATAGTACAAACCAAGCCTAGGACATGGTAAATATGTTTAAAGGAAGGCCAATGTAGGATTCAGAGCATAACGAAGGTGAAGGTATAGTAGCATTATTTTATCATTCTTGTGATTCAAAGTGAATTTACACTGAACTGTTGTAAACAAGACCAAAATTTGTAAAAGTTACTCAGTATAGTTAGGGTGCTGAGAAATCATACTGCTTTTTAACAGTTGCTAGGGGCTGTTTATTTAATGAGAGGCTAATAACAATGTAATTCTTGTGGATTTTGCATTAACTGAAAGTCTTAGTACATCCCAAAGAATACTTTAAAACCAAGTTAACATCTTCCCTATTTTTATGATTGGACCCTGAACCTTTAATCTAAAATTGAACCTTTGGATAGTATTTGAATAGAAATGGCAAGTGTTGGAAACAGAGCTCCTCATCAACATTTAAGAAACCAATGCATAGGTTTGTCCCTTTTTCCACGGCACAGTAATGTTCAGAAAGCTTTGCTTTTCTTATGCTTTATTCTCTATTTTCATCTAAAGAGGAAATCCAAATCCTTAATTAGGACAGGTAATGAAAGTATATTGAACAGCATCTTTCATCCTGTGCTGCATGATGGGCTGCTCTTCTGCTTGGGAAAGCACATGGCAAAAGAGAAAGGGATCTTTAGTTTATAAAAAATCATTCCTGTTGAAATCAGTGGACAGGCCATTCAACCTCTAAGAATTAATTATGGGCTGAAACAAAGACCTTAATCAGGACCACTGTAATATATATTATGTAAATGAACACACTCTTGCAGATTAGATACCTGCTTCCTTAGGGAGCATACTGTAGTTCCTGCAGTAACCAGGAATAGAATAAATTGGTTTTATACTCTGACAGAAAGATGTGTGGATTGTAGTGCCAAAGAATATGGGCTGTAACATCTAGTCTAACCTTCTGCGTGGCACAAAGCAGAGAAATTGCCATCAATATCTTCTGTGCCCAATTGCCTGTTTCTGTTACTATTTTGGTTCCCAGTTGAAGGGACCATCCTAGGGTTCTTAATGTACATTTGTTACCCCTTATTCCCCATGTCAAAACCACAGGTTTCCTCTCTGCTCCAAATTTGTCCAGTCTGAATTTTCATATATAGGATATTATGCTGCCTTTTTTTCTGTCAGATTAAGCTTCATCAGCCATCAAAAATCCTTTGCAGAGATTATTCTTAATGAAAGAAGTCAGCATCTGCTCTCCATGATCCAGTCAACTTGTCTGGGCAGAGAGTAAAGAGCAGGCTGGGCATTTTACCTAAGGAGAAGTGCACTGCAGCTTCAGAAGCCAGCTCAGGTCTGCAAGTGTGTTACAGTAACCTGGCTCTCAGTCTGAAATAACAAACCCTGTCAGCTCCAACAGGTTATGCACCGGTATGGCTCCAGTATCCCTGCAGATGCTCACCACAGCCTCTTTTTCTTTTCCCCAGAAAAGCCCCTATGAAACAGAAACTCAGGAGAGTGTGATACAGAGAGATTGCATCTTGTGCTCTATGAGCTGTTTTGAAGGCAGAAGCAAAACACAAACAGTATTCTGCTTTACTCAGGTTCTATCAGCCTTCCAATTACTCTTAATACCAAAGTTAACTGTAATTTGACCTTTGTGAGTGTCTCACTACAAGGCAGATTTCTGTAACCTTTTTATCTCTTTCCATCACAGTGGTTATTTTTAAGTGCTTCAGAACTCCATTTTATTCTCCCAGCCTTGCAAGCATCAGATATGCAACAGTAAGTTAATATGCCCTGCTGTTTCTGCCTGTTAGTTCCTCGCTTATGCTTTCAAAGAGCACGTTCATCCTCCAGTTCAGGAGAGTGCATGCTGAGCTCATATTCAGTTAATTATCTGTCATGATTCCCTGAATCCTTCCTGGCATTTCAGCACTTCAGGAGAGCGTCACAACATGACATGGGTCACAGAAGACATATTCTGTCATCCTTTGTCTGGCTAAAGGTACAAATCCTTGCCAAGTATGTAATCTTAGTGAATATAGGATAATCTATGTAACTAGTGCCATTATTACCCACTATTTGGGGGGAAAATAGTGGGTTTTCTGTATTACTGGTAATTAACAGTGTTTGATCTGCTGGCCTTCTTGGAAAGAAGGTCTTCTGATGAGCTGAATATACAATGACTTGCGATGATTTACCAGTCTTCAGTTTGTTATAAGGCTATAATGGATTCTACTGAAATACTGCCTTTTTTTTTTTTTTTTTTAGTAAGATATCTTGTGGGAGTATATTTTTAAAATATTATGATCCACTGTACTGCACCTGGCTGGGATGAACCCAATTTTCTTCATAGCAGCCTGTATGGTGCTGGGTTTTGGATTTCTGATTAAAACAGTGTTGATAACACACCATAGTTTTAGCTATTGCTGAGCAGCACCTGCACAACATCAAGGTGTTTTTTTTCCTGCCCCCAGCAAGTGGCCTGGGAAGGGTGCACAAGAAGTTGGGAAGGGACATATCTGTGGCAGCTAACCTGAACTGACCAGAGATACTCCATGCCATATAATGACCTGCTCAGCAATAAGAGCTCACGGGTTGGCAGAGGAAAGCAATATGTTCATGGTTATGGTGTTTTTCTTCCCAAGTGACCATTACATGTGTTGAGGCCTTGCTTCCCAGGAAGTGGCTAAACATCTGCATGCTGATGGGAAGCAGTGGATGAATTCCTTATTTTGCTTGCCTCGCACATGCAGCTTTCCGTCACCTATTGAACTGTCTTTATCTCAGCCCATGAGTTTTCTCACTTTTGCTCTTCCAAATCTCTCTTACATCCCACTGGGAGAAGTAAGCAAGCAATTGGGTGGGTGCTTAGTATCTGCCAGTGTCAACC